ATCTACCCCATAGATAACTGTAATGATCAAATGAGAAAACAGATGCAGCAAAGTATAAGACTTATAGAGTGGTGTCATAACACTCAAATTATTACTTTATTACTAAGTGACAGAGAGTAAAATAAAAGTAACTTTAATAATGTCTTTAAAACAAGTAGGCATCAGTCAAAAAGCAATTTAAGGAGAAAATCCCATTTCTGCCAAAAATAGAACCAAGGACTAAGGAGAGAGAGAGAGACAGACAGTAGGCTTAATACCAGCTGGAGGCAACAAGATAAAAGGAGGAAAACGCATACCCGAACTCCTCATATTATAAGATAGGATGAAAGAACTGTAGAAATAAGTGAAGTAAAAACAGGAAACAAAAGAAGGTGGGGCTTCCCATTTTGAATAAATATGAAAAATCAGGCTGTTTACTACTCGAGAGTTTCCTGGATGTTGAGATATGCCTGTGGTTTCTTCCTCTGGTGTGTCATTCACCTTGCCTTGCGGAGGGGCGGGGGAGGGGGGCAGGGAGTCCACACTCTGGGTGGTGTTTCTAAACCTGACTGGGACTGAAACTGCTAGGCCACTGACTGCTGAAGATTCCTCTCCCCAGCTCCCTAGCTAGGGGTAGAAAGCAGAAGTTCAATGAAATGGAGACCTCAATTGGAGAGAAGTCATGGTGCAGTGGTCAAGAATTCGCTTGACAAGGCTGGAGACCCCGGATCAGGAAGATCCCCTTAAGCAGGAATTGGCAACCTGCTCCAGTATTCTTGCCGGGAAAATTTCATGGACAGAGGAGCCTGGGCGGGTACAGCCCAGGCGGTCGCAAAGAGGCGGACACAACTGAGCATGCCCTCTCACCTCCTCATGACCAGGTGCAGTGAGCATAAGCTCTGCAGTCAGTCGGAATCTGGACTCAGCTAATTACCAGTCTGGAATCATTGTGTCACCCAAGCATTCCCAAATGGTCTCTGAATTGGTGTCAGTCTGGAACACATTTTCACTGACCTATAACCAAATGAGAAAAACTGGGACGATATAGTTTTTCACAACACTAAATTTATTGTCTGTTTTCATGTTGTAATTATCATCTTCCTCCTTTTTCGGTGGTTTAAAAAAAAAAAAAACAACTTTCTTTTTAAAGGATGGGGATGGTAGATTGCAGTAGTTCTAAAAAAGGTCCATAACGTCGACGGAATTAAAAGTTCGGGATCTTACATCTGATACGAATTGCCCACCTACACACACACTTTTTTTTTTTTAAACTTGCTGATGAAGTCCAAAAATCTGGGAACCCCTAACTTGAAGGTCTCACTTTTCTCATCAACAAAACAGGGAAGGGAAGGGAACCTGTTAAACAGCTGTGTGCAGTTATGATGATATTTAAATACAGTATCAAGTCCTCGAGGCTTCCCAGGTGGCTCAGGCTGTAAAGGATCCGCCTGCAGTGCAGGAGACCCAGGTTCGATCCCTGGGTCAGGAAGATCCCCTGGAGAAGGGAATGGCAACCCATTCCAGTATTCTTGCCTGGAGAATTCCATGGACAGAGGAGCCTGGTGGGCTACACTCCGTGGGGTCGCAAAGAGTCAGCCACGACTGAGCGACTAAACAGCAGCAGTAGTACCAACCCCTTAGAGCTTTATCATCATCATAAAGAGTTTGACCACTTCACTTGGTTCGTTCAATAAGATCCACATCCAGGCAATCTGGCAGAGTGGTCGAAAGTAAGCTCTACAATCAAACCACAGGACTGAAATTCTAGCTTTGCCCTGAGACACTACTGGCTCCAGGATCCTGACTAGCTCACAGTTAAGTCTCAGTCTCCTCGAACTGCAGTTATCTCATCAGTCAAACAGGGATGATAAACAACAGCACCTACTAAATAGAGCCATTTTAAGATTAAAATTATATAATCCATGTAAGATGCTTATCACAGTGCCCTCTAAGTGCTCTATGTTATTTATTTACATATTATTGTTACTAGTAGTAATAAACTAAGGAGGTCAAAAGGTGCCTTCTAAAAGGCTGTTTCTGAATCATCTTCCAAAGTGAAATCCATTTTAAGAGGCTACAAAGTTTGTATATTAATGATAGTTTAATAAAAATTTGTCTAAAAAAAGAACCCCTGTATAATTTTAAAAACATGAGGCTATGAGGATAATCATGGCTAACATTTATTTAAACAATTTCAAATGAAATCATTAGGTCAAGAATGAGCATTTGGATGGCATACAGATCCAGGCAAATATCAAATGTTACCCTAAACAACATATACATAATCAATGTATTTTTCATAACTTTAAAAATTTGTATATATTGATCAGAACAGGTGTAACAGGCAGGTATAATAATCAAAATGGTTACTTTCAAATAGTTAGCTTTTAATAAAATGATTACCATTTCATTAAATCAAATGTGGAGTAACTTTGATATTTAGTATAAATTATCTCCAGTATTGATCCTTAGTAAACGCCTACACATTTTAGTGTTATTTTTTAAAATATGGATGTTGAGTTGGCCTGAAATTCACCAAAACAGATTATAATTTTAGCTTGATATAAAATGTAATACAGTTTAAAATAGCTTATTTTTTATATGATATTAAATACAATTTATGCACAAACAGCTTCACAGTAAGAGTTAATTTACAAAAGATATTCTCAAGTGGTAAATGGGTATTTCCTTTATGAATTTTAAAGTGTTTTCATAACAAATATATTGAAAGACACAAGCATTATACATAAACATCGCGTAAGAGTGAAACCTTTAAGCAGTTCTTTTTTAGGAGTAACTATTGAACAAGAATAACTACTGGGTGGCTCAGGTGGTAGAGAATACACCAGCAGTGTAGGAGACCTGTGTTCAATCCCTGGGTTGGGAAGATCCCCTGGAGAAGGAAATGGCAACCCACTCCAGTATTCTTGCTTTGGGAAATCCCAAGGACCAAGGAGCCTGGCAGGCTACAGTCCACAGGGTCGCAAGTCAGACATGACTTATCAACTAAACCACTACCATTGAAGAAGAAGTTTTAATTCTCAAGAGAATGTAAAACTTCTACAAAAGCATAGCCCAGCATTTTCTCCAACATATGGTAAAGATATATCAGCATTTCTTCCCTCTATGCTTAACTTTCAAGTCTTTATTGCTACCATAAAAGAATCAGATACAGGTTACAAAGCAGTGCTCAAAGTTGACTATTTAAAGGTCCACTACTAGAAGAAAATTGCTACTTTTTTTCCTTTCTGCAACCATGTACTATAACATGTAACTTAACTAGTTATAGTAGTTACACAATATATATTTACCTAGCATTTGTGTGTGTATATATGGGGAGGGGTAAAGAAACGACTATTTCTTCTTTAACATCCAGAAAGCTTGGCAACTAAAGATCAAAACTTAGGAGCACAACACTGCAATTAGCTTTACAACATGAACAATGTTTAAGGAGCATACAAGGTGAAGAGGAGGCTGAAGCTATTAAGTTAGACTGCCTGAGTCTGAATCCAGGCTTTGCCACTTAAAACCTGAGATCTTGGGCAAGTTACTTAACCTTCCTAATCTTCCTTTGTAAAGCATGCATGCTCAGTCGCGTCGGACTCTTTGTGACCCCACAGACAGGAGTCCACCAGGCTCCTCTGTCCATGGGATTCTCCAAGAAGGAATACTGGAGTGGGTTGCCATCTCCTCCTCCAGGGAATCTTCCGGAGCCAGAAATGGCACCTGTGTCTCCTGCGGTCGTGCATCGGCAGGTAGCTTCTTTACCACTGAGCCACCAGCTTCCCTTCCTTTCTAAACCGGAGATAATAAAGAATAACGACCTCAGGGCATTATTTTGAGATAATTCTTGCAGGAAACAGCGCTCCGGCCTCTAAGTAACAATTAATACTTGCTTCCATTGTTATCGATTGCAACACTGAAACAAATTACAGTGCTATCAACTGTTTTGTTTTGAAGTGATTGCCATAAACATTAAGAAGATAAACAGATATGAGAGAACGTGCTCTGTAAGGAAACACTTCTGTTGAGATTCGTTATTTGGACTAAGTTTCTTCTCACCAAATGGCAAAGGAAATTTTCTAGAATTATCTTCGGAACCAAGAAAGTCAAATCCAGGACCTTGTGTAAAATCACACAAGCAGAAATGGATATCACCCGCGTCAAAGAGACACCTGCCAGTCCTAGTCCACAGATGTCATTTCACATGGTCAGAATCGTTCCGATCTTAGAACTTTCTAGCCTGCGACAAACTTCCTTTAAAGCGAGGAAACGATCCAAACACACACACACACACACACACACAGTGTCTAACTCCTGCCATTAATCCATCCCTGCAGAAAATGAGAACTATTTGACAAAGGGATACACAGCCACAAAATCGGTCTTTAAAGGGAGCGGGAATAAAGGGTAGAAGAGATGCTCTCGCTACGGAGGCCACCGGGCCTTTCTCCGGGTCGGGAAGGGGGGCGCCCTGGGACCAGCGAATCTCGCTCGGTTAAGTCGCGTTCCTAAACCGTGCACAAGGGAAGAGGTGTCCACGGTCAGAGAGGGTGTCGCCGCTCCCCGACCGCTCCCCGAACTCTCAGCCCGGGCTCGGCGAGCTCCTTCCCCTCCACCCCGCCCTCCCATCCGCCCAGCGGGTCCTCGCGGGCCGAACGCGCGGCTCCGCCCGCCGGGGTGAGGAGGCCGGCGCCCGCTCGCATCCCGGAACTCCCGGCCCCGGGGGCCCCGGCCGCGCGCCGCCCTTACCCGGCTTCTGGCCCCGCGACAGGTGGTGCTGCCGGCGGAGAGGCCGCGGCCCCGCAGGCCACCCGGACGATGCTCAGCTCCGGCCGAGGACGGCCCTCCCCTTCCCGAGGCTTCCCGGAGGGAGCCGGCGCCAGCTCAGGCTCCGACCGGCCAGCTCTGCAGGACTCGAGCCGAGGCAGCCAGTACACCCGCGCAGTGAGGCGACGGACCGGGGAGGACCGCCGCCGCGGCCCCATGAAGGGGGTGAGACTGACGGGAGCGCGGGCCAATGCGGAGGCAGTAAGCCAGCCTTAAGGGGCGGGGCTTCGCCGCCGGCGCGCCCGCGTCCCAGCCTCCAAGGACCTTCCTCTGCCCCGTAGCCTGAGGTAACTGTTTGGGGGCCTGGCCGGTGCCTTTATGGGCCTGATCCCCAGGAGTGAGCCCGCAGGCGTGTAGGGTGGGAGGAGTCCGGACACGCAGAGGACAGCTGCCACCCCACGGAAACAGCTGGGGCTGGCTAACTGCAGGCTTCCCATCTCGGCGGCGGGCGCTGGGGTCGGTTGGGGAGATGGCCGCGCGTTTGCGCGAGAAGAGGCTCTACGCAGGCGCGGGCGAGGCCCGGGATGGGGCGGGGTGGGACCTGTCGCCGGGTACCGGGACCCGAACCCGGGGAGCGACGAAGGCTGGGCGTGTGGGCCGCTCCTGGACTGCCTGTGGAGGCAGGGAGAGGAAAGCAGAGATTCGAAGAGCAGGATGCCAGCCAGGAGAATGGAGACGAGGGAGAGAGCGGGCCTGGGGAATGTGAAGCCTCTGCCCTTGAGGAACAACTTTATGTTTTTGAGCAATTTTTGTCTGCCTTCGAGTTGCCCTTCTGCCAAATTCTTTGCCGCTCTCCATGTTTACTGACACAACTTTTTGTTTTGTAAATTAATATGTTTATTTTAATTGGAGGCTAATTACTTTACAACATTGTAGTGGTTTTTGCCATACATTCACGTGAATCAGCCATGGGCTGACACAACTTTTGACCCGCAGGGAATTTACTGTCATCACAGTCCCCATAAGTAGATATTCGAATATTCTCTCTCAGAAAAAAGCACTGGCACCGTAAATGGTTATGGTGAAAGCAGCGCGACCCTACCTTAATATATGTATAATTCACCCATGGTTATGATACTGGAGGATAGTTCTTCATCCTTACTTCAGAAAATGTGGGCACCAAAAATGCTTTACTGTAATCGAGTTTGCGTGCTTTTAAAGTGTAGTAATAAAAATTTTAAAGATGTAAAGAGTGAAGAAGAGGCAAGGCAGATGGAATGAGAACATGAAGTGATGGAAATGTAGGATAGAGAAGATTGAGCAGCAGTAGAGAAAAGTGGATTCTTGCCTCCTAAACTGACGATTCTCCAGACAAGAATATTGGAGTGGGTTGCCAGTTCCTAGTAGTTAGAGGATAAATGGTAACTATGGCTGCTATAATAACCCCTGCTGGAACAGAGAGACTAGAAATAAACATGGGACTTCCCTGGTGGTGCAGTGGGTAAGAACCCACCTGCTAATGCAGGGGACACGGGTTCTGTCCCCGCTCTGGGAAGATTTCACATGCCTTGGAGCAACTAAGCCCGTGTGCCACATTTACTGAGCTGGTTCTCTAGAGCCTGCGAACCGCAACTACAGGGCCTGCCTGCTGCAACTACTAAAGCCCGTGTGTTCAGGGCCTGTGTTCCACAAGAGGAGCTACCACAGTGAGAAGCCTGTGCACTGCAACCGAGTAGCTCCCGCTCTGCAAGTAGAGAAAGCCTGCCCACGTAAGGAAGACCCAGCACAGCCGAAAATAAATAAATAGAAGTATTTTTAAAATAAGCATGACCTCAAATAACCCTGTTTGCAAGAAACTGTCAAGATGCCTCAAGCTGAATACAGAAAAATTAAAAATTATGTGTCATTATAAATGCTTCATTAGTAGAGGTAAAATTATTTTGTCTTTGAAAGGTAGTCTGTCCTACAGTAGAATCATCCCAGATTGAAGGGTTGCAGAGAGCTTATCATAGATGGGATTTCTTTTGGTTAAACTGAGATCAACTCATTCCTTAGTAAATGAAATACCTGTTAATGTCAAAGAGGCAAACAGTGCTGTTTTTCTGGTCCACCCCAATTCACTTCTTCTCCTTAGTCACTTTGGGGAATGGTTTGAGGCTTCCTCTCAGTATAGTGATACATGGCTATTGAGCGTTTGAAATATGGCAACTAACTCTAAGTTAAGATACACAATGAGTTCCAGAACAGTACCGAAAAACGGTGAAATATCTCAATTTAAAAAATATTGATCACATGTCAAAATAATATCTTGGATATTTTGGGTTACGTGAAATAAATTAATTTCATCTCCTTTTCACTTCTGTAACATGGCTATCATAAAATTTAAAATTACATGTACAACTCCAGTTTTTTACATTGTATTTCAGTTGGACAGTGCTGGTCTAAGAGGACCCTGTTGGAGTCACATATATGGATGCTGTTGGACGGAACTTTGAAAAAGGCTTTTTTAAAAGAAGGAAAGGGTTTTTAAGAAAGACTCAATTGTACCTTTTGTTTCACATCCCACTTCTTACCAGAAATGTTTGAAGTCCTGGCACCCATTATCAGCCCATAGGATGAAAAGGAAGAAGATGAAGGCCTGTAAGTGTATTGGCAGGATCAAAGCACCTGGATCCCCAGTAGTATTACTGAGCCACGTTCCGCCTTGATTCTTATTCCATATTTCTTATTCTGTGAAATAAACCTCTGCTTGCATAAATAACTTCAAATAAGGTTTTCTGTTGTTTGGACAAGCAATAACATCTACCAGTTACTGTTAAAATACACAGAAATCTTGTCATATTATTTTAATTTTATACTTGTTTCTTTTGGATAGCTGATAATTCCCATTAGGTCAAATTGAGGATGCCAGATCTAAAGTTGCTATTTTACTACTGTATTAATATTTACTACTGTATTAATATTAAAATTTTATTACTGTATTAATAATGATAATATCACTGCTTTGATTTTGTGTGCCACTAACCTACTATATTAGATACTGGACCTTTAAATTCATTTAAAAATAATTCTATACTTGAAATTTGTTTGTATGCTTAAATTAATTCTGGTGACCGAGGGATGTGGTATGTGATTGCACTTAGCCTTTTAAATTTGAACTGAGACATCTTAGTGTCTCACTTTAACTATTACTGTATCAAAATAGCATTACTTACAGATGAAATAGTTCAGTTCAAGCAAGAATGTTGGATAGAGGCTAAAAAGGTAAATTCAAAAGAGCACAGTGTTTTTCAAAGCTTAAGAGGATTGTTGTGTTTAAAGTGTTGGAATGAGTTTCCACATATTTGTTTGCAATCATACAGAAAATTCCCCACTGGTTGCAGAATAACAACTACTGTATTATAGTGTATTACAGAATAACAACATGTTACAGAATAACAACTATGGTATTACAGGAGTTGTATCTTTTGGTGTTCCTTGCTAATAGAAACCATCAGAGAAAGTTTGGAAGTTTAGATTTTATGTCTCTGTTAATGATTACTCATGTTTTACAATTACATCTGTCTTTTTCCTATGCGTTCATTATCTAGAAGCAGAATATATGTAACATATCTCCAAGTACCTATGACATGAAAGGAACATGTTAGTTGCTGTATTACCTTTCAGTATGCGTGTGTGTGTGTTGCAAAAGAGGACTTTCTTACTCAAACTTGTTTTATGTTTTCCACTTTCTGAATTTCCTTGAGAGAATGAAAGGACCTCTCTGAAAGTAGAATTCTCTTCAGAAAATGGAGTTAGGAGCTGACAGTCCTTGACTGGAAATACAGCTGAATGAGAAATACAACTCCAAGTGGAATATAGATTATCGGTAGATTAGACATCCCATTTATGGATCATCTGGGAATGATAGAAGATGGTCGAGATCCCTGTGAACATGTATGTGTGTATAGGAAGGTATATCTGCAAAAGAGTTGAACAAATTCCTCAGTTCTTCAATTTTTTTGTTTCTGGTTTGCTTATTTATAGCAAAAGAAAGAGTACTCTTTGGGAGGTTTGAATACACGATTCTATCTGTCAAACTCTTGAAAAATCACTCAACATCTTTCTCCTGTCAGGTGGGCAAAATTAAACTCCCCCTTCCTGTATCAAAGGCCCTTGAAAGGAGGAAATGTGATGAAAAACAAGCAAGGGCTTTGTAAATTTAAAAGGATACAGATACAAGTGAAGCGTTCTTGCTCAGGCTCTCTACCAGTCATGTAGATGATGCTCAATAAATAATTACTCACTGAATGCTTTTTATCTGCTAAGCATGGCTCTGAGTCTCCCTGTGTATATATTAAAATGACTCAATTGTCTTAACACTATGATGTAGGTGTAATTATTGTCCCCATTTTACAAAAGGAGTTATAGGTTGACTTGCGCAAGGGTACCACTAATAAGTGGAAGAGAGAAATAGATTATGCTGTGTACACTCTGAATACTTTTGAGTATTTTTATGTGCCGTTCACTATCGTGGAAAGACCGGAAAGATCATCTGGAACTAATGGCACCCCCACCCCAGCCTGGAAAATGGGAAGGCTCTCCCCACTTAAACTATTAAAATCTCTTTCATAACCCAAACTCTAATCTCTTCAATGAGTCCTGGTGTGCGTGCATGCATGTTCAGACTCTTCAGTTGTGTCTGACTCTTTGTGACCCAATGGACTATAGTTCGCCAGGCTCCTCTGTTCATGGGATTCTCCAGACAAAAATACTGGTTGCCATGCCCTCTTCCTGGAGATCTTCCCGACCAAGGATCCAACCTGCATCTCCTGCATTGCAGGTGGGGGTTTTTTACGGCTGAGTCACCAGGAAAGCCCAAGCCCTGGTGTAATAGTACATAAATACACGTTGGAATTAACTTCGAGCTTGAAAACAAAACATGCATTGCCTTCACTATACCAATTACATAAGAATCTTCTGATGTGAGACTTCAGCTCCTGTGTTTCTTAATAGTTCTCACGCCTGCATTTCTTTTTAAAGTACTTTTCATCCAATATAAGCTTCATGAAGTGGGGACTTATAAAAATCATTTCTCCCTGTATTCCTCCTAAGTCTTCACACATGATTAATGTTTGAATAATTCGTGTGCAGGTTTAGACTATTGACATCTTCTTTGTTCTAATGAAAGAGTTCTCAAAGCATGGTTCTGGATCGTCATCTCATCATCACCTGGGAACTTGTTAGACATGCAGATAGTCAGGCCCCACCCTAGACCCACTGAGGCTGAAACTCCGTGGTGGGAGACCAGCAACCTGTGTTTTGCCAGGTCCTCCTGTTGATTTGGATACATACTCAAGTTTAACAACCACTGTCTGAGGCCATGCGTTCATTAAGCAATCCTCAGAGTGTAGTTTATTTTGTGTGTCTATAAAAGTTTCTGGTGAGGACTTCCTTGTTAGTCCAGTGGTTGGGAATCCGCCTGCCAATTCAGGGGACACATGTTCGATCCCTGGTCCAGGAAGATCCCACATGCCGCAAGGCAACTAGACTTGCTCATCACAACTACTGAAGCCCACAGGCTCTAGAGCCCGGGCTCTGCAACAAGAGAAGCCTCCGCAATGAGAAGCCTGCACATTGCACCTAGAGAGTAGGCCCTGCTCTCCACAACTACAGAAAGCCTGGGTAGCAATGAAGACCCGGTGCAGCCAAAAAATAAAATTAATTGATTACTTAAATTTAAAGTTTCTTCTGAGATGAGCTAATTGGGAAACGGGAATGAAAAAGATACATTGCTTGCCCTCAAGGAGTCTACCTTATAATATGGAGATAAAGAATTTCTTCACCTGGGTGAATTCAAAGAGAAGTTTGTTCTTAGGTATGTATTTACGGATGAAATGACATAATCACAATGTCATGAATTTCCTTTACATTGTTCTAGGGAGAAAAATGGTAATAGATGAAACAAGATAAGCAAAATGTCACCATTTATTAAGACTGAGTCCTGTCTTTAAGGGGACTTATTATACTACAGTGCTCTTGCCTGGAAAATCCCATGGACAGAGGAGCCTAGTAAGCTGCAGTCCATGGGGTCGCTAAGAGTTGGACATGACTGAGCGACTTCCCTTTCACTTTTCACTTTCATGCATTGGAGAAGGAAATGGCAACCTACTCCAGTGTTCTTGCCTGGAGAATCCCAGGGACGGGGGAGCCTGGTGGGCTGCCGTCTATGGGGTCGCACAGAGTTGGACACGACTGAAGTGACTTAGCAGCAGCAGCAGCAGCATTATACTATATTCTCTACTTTTGTGTGTAATTGAACATTTCCTTATAAAAAAATTTAAGTAAGTAAGTATTAGTCACTCAGTGGTGCCCAATTCTTTGGGACCCCGTAGACTGCAGCCCACCAAGCTCCTCTGTCCATGAGATTTTCCAGGCAAGGATACTGGAGTGGGTCGCCATTTCCTTCTCTAGGGCATTTTCCCAACCCAGGGATGGAACCCGGGTCTTCTGCACTGCAGGCAGATTCTTTACCAACTGCTACAAGGCTCAAAGCATTGTAGTAGTTCAAAAGAAGTGATTTATTTCATTAATTGCATTTATGACCTCATAAATTGAAATGTTGAGATGTGAACTCAAAATGAACATTTAAAATTCTTTTCCTGTTTCTCTAGTCTTTCCAAAATATAAAATCCCAGCAGTCTTTGTTTCTGCAATGGCAATTATAATTTGACTTCCCTTCTGAAGACTTTTGTAATAAATTTAAACAAAAGTACTTCCACATCCATCTAAACACAATGAAAAGCTTTTTTTTTTTTAATGAAAAGCTTTTAAAAATTTTCCTTTTTGTTACTGATGGAAGAAATGTTCACAGTGAAGTATGAGAAAGTCATTTTGTCTTAAACTTGATTTAATTTAAACCTTATGCTACCTAGAACAGCCTATTTTGTGGCCTATTAAACGTGCATTGCACGTATGCTTTAACCATGAAAGAAAACAATGCATTTGAAAAATCAAAATGGGATAACTGTGGTTCAGTCATTCAAAACAAAGTCTGATGGCCATTGTGGATGTGGTTTCAGACACATACCTGCATTACTGAGAACTTGAGTTTTCAGAACTGTAATCAGACTCAAGGACACCAGCAACCTTTCTCAAAACAATAGCTGCTAGCAGCTGCAACTTTATGGTCTCAACGCCTCCCCCATAACTATGTCACCATTTTGAACCCCAACCAATCCTCGATGAATAAGCAAACTACATTTTTGCCAGCTCCAATCCTAATTATTGACAAACAGCTTATCAGTTTTGTGGGCTTTGCCTGTTATAAGCCTCCCCCATTTTGTAGCCTGGCAGAACACAAGGGCCTCTCAAATCTATCTCTGGGCTATAGTCTTCAGCTTGGCTGAGATGAAGTTCTTTTTTGTTCTTCTCATAGATTGTTTATTGATTATTTTCATCAACATTACCATCATATCACCTAAATCAGATTAGGTGGACTTGTATAATATAGTTTTTTTTGTGTGTGTGTGTGCATGCATGCACATGCGTGTGTGTTAGTCACTCAGTTGTGTCCAACTCTTTGCGACCCCATGGACTGTAGCCTGCCAGGCTCCTCTGTCCATGGAATTCTCCAGGCAAGAAGACTGGAGTGGGTTGCCATTTCCTTCTCCAGGGGATCTTCCCGAACCAAGGATTGAACCTGGGTCTCCTGCATTGCGGGCAGATGCTTTATTGTCTGAGCTACTAGGGAAGCCCAATATAGCTCTGGAGTAGGCATCTTCAAGTATTAGATCTCTTGCTTGTGTCTGTATGATCAGGCAGAGGTCACGCGTGCAGGGCTGACTTAGTTTGATGGGAGAGATAGGCTGCTAGCGTGAGAAGCTTCTGAGGGTAAGCATTGCACCCTGCGCAGAGCCTCTCGCCCCTACTGCTGACCGGCTTCCTCTATACTAGGAAATGCGTTTTCATTCAACAACTCTCACAAATAGTGAAAAAGACAGTGAACTCAGAGCTCTTGGGTGCCGTTCATATGTTTCTCCTCACTTGTCTCCAAAGGCCATTGGAAGTTCACTTTGGAGCCCATCACTGTCTCCAATCTGCTAAAAAAGAAACAAAATTTAACTGAGTTAATTAGAAGATCTAATTGGCTTTAATCATGAATCTGGTAGCATCTCATCTGGCAAACAGAGAGATATTCCCAGAAGTAATTATTTCTTCAACTTATGTTACCTAGAAGGCTTGGTGGAGGGTGCAACATGAGAGCGAATCTTGATTTAAGCAGAGAAGTTTTTAATATATTACATACAAGTTCACTAACTCTTATCCATAATTCTAGAACCCAAAATGTTTTTTCCCCATCTGGAGGGATTCTGTCACTTTGGTGGTATCAGAATTTATTTGGTGACAAATAAGAAATTGTCACATCTGTCTATAGTCTTTGTTTCCCCAACCTGATGTAAGTATTCATATATTTCTCTTCAGTAATATGAATATTTTTATGGCACTACCTCAGATCCCACTGAGGACATTATAAAACATACAGTGTATGCTCCTTGGAATGTTTTCCCAAATCCCAAACTGTCTAGATTCTGAAACACAGTTGGCTCCAAGCACTTCATCCATTTGTATCATCCCAAAGTGCAATCCTTCTTATGGAACAAGAAATTAGGGAAAGGCTGTGTGTAGTTCTTAATTTTGATTTTGCTGGGATTAAGCAAATAACTTTTTACTTTAATATTGCTTATTATAATACTTAAAAAGCTAGACTTAGTGTGAGTGAGAGACAATCATGACACCTTACTTGGTGCTATGAGCACAGAAATGACTGATTGAATAAGTTATAAGAAATTAGCTTTTTAGGAGAATTGTTTAAAAAATATTTTTGGCCACACCATGCAGCTTATGGGATCTTAGTTCCCCATCTGGGGATCAGACCTGGGCCTACAGCAGGAACAGTGTGGAGTCCTAACCACTGGACTTCCAGGGAATTCCTTAAGGAGAAATTTTTGATGATAGAAGTCAGTGAAACAGTTAGGTTTAAGGGGGATTGGCTGAAAAAAGACACAAGGGAACATTCTTTATCACAGTCTGGACAGGAGCTACACAAGTGTATACATGTATAAACATTTGTCAGATTTGAATGACATAACTTACACACCTTATTGCACGAATTTTATATCCACTCCAACAAATACATGTTTGAAAAAATGAAAGTGAAAGTGTTAGTCGTTCAGTTCTGCCTGACTCTTTGTGACACCATGGACTGTATCCCACCAGGCTCATCTGTCTGTGGAATTTTCCAGGCAAGAATACTGGAGTGGGTAGC